GGACCCGGGGCCTGCGGGCCCAGCGAGGGCCCCACACCCGGGGAATGCAGGCCCAGCGAGGGCTTTATGCCCAAAAGCCCAGCTGCTGCACGCCCCAGACTTCTGTGGGGAGGCCCTTCTCCCCCCAGCCCTTCAGCACCCACCCTTGTGTCGCATCGTTTGAGGTGCAGGCAGGGGTTTTGCAAGCTAAGGGCTTTACGACTGGTGGCACTGGGTAATTGGGATTGGAAAGACCTACACCATCCCTCCATCCTGGCTTTTCATCGCTAAGGGAGGTGGTGAATCCCCCCGGGAATGGGGAAAGCCAGGAAAGTCATGATCCTTCAAAAAGCTTCCTTGGGGAGGAGCAGTGGGTGCCTGTGTTTCCCTTTGTCCCCTCAAAGACAGCTGTGAAGTTTTGCTGGTAACGCTGGCTGTGTTTTTATGAAAACACCCAAGATTTTAGAGGTGGCCGGGGCCGGAGAGGCTCTGGGAGCAGGCGGTGGAAGGATGGTTGTAAGCTGGAGCCAGCCATCCCGCTCCCCAGACACTGTTAGGAAAATTCCCTTCCCTAACTATTATATCAACCCGTCTTTATAATACGAAAATGTATTAACTTTGTTAATATATATATTAGTTCAGATTATACACTGCGATGTAACGGGGTAGTGGAATTTTACTGGAGACTTTGGTATTATTCGTGCTTAAGTAAAACAAACTAAAGGACAGCCCAACCCTGGAAATAAGGACTTTGCTTCATGGAAGCTTAGAGCTGTCCGTGAAGGATAAAGGATACCCCTGGGCAACCAAGATAATGCCAGCATCCCAGCCCCTCTGACATGGCTTTGAAACCCTCCCAGCGTCGTCTGGTGTCAGAGATCAGTAACTCTAGCAAGACTGATTCCAGGGACATCTGCATCAATGGACGAGCAGCAAAAATCCTGGAAAAATATTGTTGCTTTTCAAAGTTTTACTATTATTAGTAATCAGTAATGTGGGTGTTAGTGATTAGTCAAGTTGTGTTGTACCTGAAGGTTTGAAGGAAACCTGTGCAAAACCCCATTTGGGGTGCCCCATTTGGCTGGGACATCTCATGTGCAGGAATAAATATTTACCCTTCTAATCCTCTACTTTGCATCCCAGCCTCTCTCCTCAGTTGGCACATCCAGCTGCGGATTTTTGTGACGCAGCGCAGCCAGCCCCGCCAGCCCAGCCCGCAGCGCTGCTGCCCCGGGGGAGGCTTTCCTCCTCCTCCAGCAAATCAGCCGTGCCGAGCCCCGGGAGCTGGCGAGCAGAGCTGGTGGCAGTGCCGGCCACGGGTGCATAAGGAGGTCTTTATGAGACGCCTGTGGTCTGTGCACAGCGGCTGCTTTGTGCGAGGGGCACTGGCACGGGCCGGCCGGACGCTCACCTAAGAAGGCTTCTGTGTGTGGAGGGAAGGGTGTCCCGGGGGCAGCATGTCCTTCGCTTGCTGTCCCCAAAGGCCCTCGTCACCTTTTCAACCTCCAGCTGCCAGCGGCTCTCCCTGTGCAGGGGTCTGGCTGTGCTGGTGGTAGCAGTGGGTGCCCAAGGAGCGTGGGGGGCTGCACCTCTTTTGTCCTGGCTGCCCAGCCTCCTCAAGTCGGGAGCAGGGGAACAGCTCAAGTGTTTGGTGAGCTGTGGAGCTGCAGCTTTGACCGCCCGTGCGGTCAGCTCCTGTCAGAGCTGTTGCAGAGGCAAGTCTCCTGGCTGCAAGGAAGCACAGCCCCAGTCACCATCCCCTGCTCACCTGGTGCCAGGGAGCCCCACTGCACTTTCCTGGCACCTGCGAAAGGGGCTGGGGATGAGCCTTGGCTGTGCAGGGCAGCATATTCAGCCCATCTCCCACTCCTGCACTGGGGGGCTCTTCAGTGTGGCCCCCAGGAACAGTGGTGCTGGGAGGGACGCAGACACTGCATGATCCCAGGTGGTCTTGACTGGCACTCCGAGCTCTGCAAGGGGACCCTGCTGTGACCACAGCCCCCAGCTCGTCCCAGGATCCTTGCCCCAGGAGCCTTGCCCCAGGAGCACGGGGCCGCTCCCACACAGCAGGCGCAGAGCAAGGAGGACACCCTTCCTACAGCCACTTTTCTTTTATTTAGAGGTTACAAGATACAAGGAGCCGGACCTGCACGCCACGTGCCATCAGCTCGCTCTGCCATGCCCCTCCATGTGCTGTGTGGGTGGAGAGGAGGGGGGTTGGCAGAGGCAAGCACCTCCAGGCTGGTCCCCCCATTGCCTGCAGGGTTTTCCTTGCAGCCTTTGAGATGGGCACTGTTTCTGCTGCGGTGGCTTTGCCCTACCAGCCGTGAGCAAGCATTATGGGAGAGGGATGTCTCCAATGGGACAAGAACTGGGACCACTGAGCTGAACCCGTTCCATCACTTGCCAGGAGAGACCCTGGCTTGGCCCTACACCCGCCTCCAAAGGGGATCAAAACTCGTATGGGGACACAAAGGCTGTGACCTTGAAGATGTGCTTGCCCAGGAGGACCTTGCGGGAGAACTCGCTCATCTCCAGCTCCACCTCCAGCGTGGCTGGCCCTGCCACAGGGCTGGTGAGCACCAGCTCTCCTGTCTGCCGGTCAGAGCGCCGCACAGCGAAGACACCCTGGCCCCGGCTGCCCATGATGGCAAAGCGCAGGCTGTCGCCCACGAAGCGGGTGGTGGACATCTTGAAGAGGACGTGGGGCACAGTGCGGTTGGCCTGGAGTGGCAGGTAGTGAAAGGAGATGGAGGTGGCGGCCAGGCGGCAGGCTCGGCTCTCCATGGGGCAGGGGTTCCTCTCGCACTGGCTGCCAGGAGAGAAGGGGTACCACCGCTCAGTGCCATGGTTTGGCTCTCAGGGAGCTGCCTGCATCCTTACGAACAAGGATGTTCTGTGCCACAGGTAGCATCTCCAGCCCCACTGCCAGTCCTGCAGCAGAGCAACCCAAGACAGCCACCTCTGAGTGTACCCAGCATCGGATCTCTGTCCCACCCCTGCCTCTGCCAGGCAAATGCCATGCTTCACAGTGACGCATCTCTGGGTCACGCTCTGAGGCTGGGACCGGGGGTACCGCAGTCCCATCTGGAGGCCAGGGATGAAGCCAGGCTCAGATGTACCTCCCGAAGAGGAACTTGTCTGGAGCAGGGATGCTCCTACACTTGGGTGGCTTGTGCTCAGCCACAAAGCAGTTTAGCCTCAAGAGCAGAACCAGGGGGGTTTTGCCTGCTGGATGGCAGCCAATGGCACTGCATGGATGTGCAGCGGAGGGGAAACGGCATTGGTCACCCCAGGCTGGGGCTCTGGGGGACTGGGGTCCCGGATAAAGCCACCCTGTATCGGGGTGCTCCCACCCGTACCCCCAGCCACCAGCATCCCGAGACCATCGGGGAGCGTGCCAAACACACCCGGGCACCCCCCGTGGCAATTTGCTACCAGCGGTGGCTGGCACTCTCCCTGCTGCCCCTGGGTGACGTGGTATGGTCCCCAGGGCACTGTAGGACCCATCATCTGGGGGAGAGAGCATGACACAGCCCGAGCCACGCGCAGTACTCACAAGGCAGAGGTCTTGACGTAGCTGGTGTTGTGGCGTGGTGGGGGGCACTTGGGGCGCACGCAGTGGTGGCCCCCGAAGGTGTTGATGCAGAGGTCGCCCTGGGTGCAGTTGTGCTGCTTCCCAGCACACTCGTTGACATCTGCAGTGGTGACACAGGGTGAGCAGGGCTGTCTCTGCTGCTCCCCGCTGCACCCCTGGTCCTGCAGGATGCTCTCTGCCCTGCACCTGCTGCTCTTACCCTCGCAGGCATTGCGGTCGGCGTGGAGCAGGTAGCCAGGGGGGCAGAGGCAGCGGTAGGAGCCAGGGAGGTTGAGGCAGTCGTGGAGGCAAAGCTGGGTCTGGGGGCTGGACTGGAAGAGCTGGCACTCATCCACATCTGGGGGGACAAAGCGGGGGCGGCTGGGGCCCCCATCAATGCCAAGCCTCAGTTTCCCCCCCCCCCTCCTCACCCCCTTTTTACCGTGACACACACCACCAGCTTGCATCCGGCAGCCAGCGTCGCAGCCGCAGGCCCGCACTGCTGGGGTGGGGGGCGCGGGGAGATGGGAGAGGGCTGAGGTCCCAGGGGGCTGCCAGGGAAGGGGGAGATGGGTGCAGGATGGCCAGGCGCTGTCCCCATGAGCATCCGTGTCCTCTGCAGCCCAAACCCAGGCACGTACAGGCATAGATGGGGCTGTGGCAGCTGGGGCCTGACCAGCCCCGGGGGCAGAGGCACGTGTAGCCCTGGTTGCCATCCACGCAGGTCCCACCGTTGGCACACGGGTTGCTGGAGCAGTCATCAATACCTAGGAAGAAGGAGCTCATGAACACCAGCTGGAGAAGCTCATCCTCACCCCATCCTGCTGCCCAGCCTCGGTGCCCATTGCTGCAGCCTCTGGGCTGCTCTCCCTGCAGCCAGGGGAGCAGAGTGATGGGACCCTGCAGCTCGGGGTGACAGAGGAGCCCCCGGGCAGGGCTGAGCCCATGGCACCCGGCCCCACTCCACTTCACTTCTGCAGAAAGGCTGGGTGCCGCTCCATGTGCGGTTGTGCCGGCAGGGGCGTGTCTGCGAGCCCACCAGCCGGAAGCCGGCATCACAGACGAAGTGAACGTCGTGGCCCACCCGCATGCTCTGGCCCAGTATCCGTCCATTCAGGAGCACCACCGGCTGCGGACAGGTCTCTGCGGACAGACAGATATGGGTGAGGATGGACATCGCCAGGCTGGAGCCGACACCAACCCCAGCAAGAAGCTGGGGGTCCCTTGCCCAGGCTGCTCGCCGAGGGACAAGGGGTCTGAGCTGGCCCTGTGGGGATGTCACCCCCATGACGGTGAGCTGGCCGGGGTTACCGTTTCGTTTGGTGGCCTGTCTCTGGAGGTGGCTCTGGAGGACAGAGAGCTGCTGCCGGAGACCACGCGTGCCCCGCAGGTGAGCAGCCTCCTGCGCCGCCAGCAGCTTCTGCATCTGCCGCACTGCACTGAGTGCCTGCTGCTGGCTCAGGCACTCCTGGGGGGATGCAAGGACATCCCCGTCAGCCGCTGGGCTCCCCTGCCACCCTGCCACAGCCCAGGGGGATCCTCCCAGGCAGGCAGCATCTTTGGGGTTGGTTTGGATACCCTGCCCTGGGCAGAGCCCCTTCCTCGCAATCCCAGTGCAGGGTCTACCCCTGCCTCCATATCTGCTCCAGCCTCAGCCCCTCTGCCCAGTCCTGCCCTGGCACCTGGGTGCTGAGGAGCAGCTCAGATGCCCTTGGTGGATCATCTTGCTGCTGCAGAGGAAAAGCCCCACGACCATACCCCCTGGCCCTGGACAGCCCTGTGAGCGCTGTGGCCGTGCCATACCCCCCACCCTGGGATGGTGATGAGATGCTGGGGGCTGGGAGATGGGTGCTGAAAAGCCCCCAGTGGAGGGGTCTGCAAAGGGGCTGGAGGGGGGGGCACAAGGGTCCTTACCCGGGCGCTGCCGAGGGGCAGCTGCAGGATGCCCAAGGCCAGCCAGGCTGGCAGCGGGATGAGGAGCATCACGCCGGGGCTGGCTCAGGCTGCGCAGGCTGCAGGGACGAGATGCCGGTGCTCTGGTTCTGCCCTGCTTGCTTGCAGCTGGGCTCCTGTGCTCGCTGGGATTTATCCACGGCGCGTGCCCGTGTGTTTGTTGGTTTTTCCCCTGGCTGAAGCCAAGCCATAGGAAAGTTTCCCCTTGGCATGGGCGCCAGCCTCTCCCTTCCCTTCCCTTTCCACACATCAGAGGCTTTGGGGCCTTTCATGTCACAGGGCCAGCAGATTCTGGGGCCAAGTGGTGGCTGTCACGGCAATTGCTGCGGTACCGCCGGTGCCAGGCTCCCCCCGCGGCCAGACACGGCTCCGGGGCTCCCCGGCACGCGGGGGTGCAGGATGAGGCTAATCCCGTGTGTGTTTGCTAAGCGTGGGAAAGTCTCCTGGGAGAAGGGATGGCTTTGGGTTCAGCATCAGGGTCCGGCTCTCCGGTGGGGCTGGGGCTGCCGAGGAGGGCAGCTCAGCAGTGCCATGGACTCGCCAGCCTCGGCACGGCTTTGCTGGGGTGAGCTCAGCCATGGCTGGAGCTTAGAGGGGGACCCCAGGGCTCCAGTGCAGCCTAGAGTTGGGGTACAGGTTGGCATTAAGGTTGGCATTAACCTTAGAGTCAGGGTTAATGTTAGGGTCAGCATTAGGGTTAGGGCTGGGGTTAGCATTAGGGTTAGGGTTGGGGTTGGGGTTAGCATTAGACTCATGGTTAGGGCTAAGGTCAGGTTTTGTATTAGGGTTCGGGTTAAGGTTAGTGTTAGGACCGGTGCCAAGGGTTAAGGTCCATACAAACAGGAAGGTTTAGATGAGGGTTGGGGTTGGCATTAGCATTAGGGCTGGGGTTCAGGCCAGGGTAAGGTTAGTCTCAGAGCCACGGAACTGAAAGCGTTCAGAGCTGGATTTCTGCTGATATCTAGCTCAGCCCCGATAGCTGGCGGGTGGGATGCTCTTGGTCCCTCCTGCCCGTGACAGCCCAGAGGAAGGGGCATGGTAGCAT